CTAATTCCCCATCTCCCAAATTTCCCACCTCCCAAATTTCCCATCTTCCCAATTCCCATCTCCCCAATTTCCTATCTCCCTAATTTCCCATTTCTCTAATTCCCCATCTCCCTAATTTCCCATCTCCCTAGTTTCCCATCACCCAAATTTCCCATCTCCCTAATTTCCCATCTCCCCAATTTCCCATCCCCCTAATTTCCCATCTCCCTAGTTTCCCATCTCCCAAATTTCCCATCTCCCTAATTTCCCATCTCCCAAATTTCCCATCTCCCTAATTCCCCATCTCCCTAATTTCCCATCTCCCCAATTCCCATCTCCCTAATTTCCTAAAAAGGTAGTAAATAGAAATACCTTCTAACAATACACTAAGCATTTTACTCTACCACTACAAGTTTTTACTGTACCCCTGAATCACATCCTAAAGAAGTTGCTAAACTTTAAACTTGTGTCCAAACAGTCATAAAATTTATTAATTCAAAAAAATATATATAATACTGAACATTAACATCCTTTAAATAATTCCGTATCATAAAATTTTAGTCCATACGCATTACATATCTGATTAGTGCCATAAGACTTCTCTTGGGACGCGTGCACGTATCCTTATTTTCCACCCGAACTTCTCGAAACTGAAAATTCAGGATGTTCCGAATGTTCAATAGAATTTCCTATCACGTTTAACTAAAAGCGTTTGCAGTTTCGCCAAGTTGCGATACAGCCCGACGACGTGAAGTGCAAGCTGGAAAAACACAGCTGCAGTGTTTTCAAGTGCCGCGTGTAATTTATTGGTAGATTTGAGAGCGTTTTGCACCAGTGTAAATAAGATTTAAGCGATTAAGGTTTACCAGGAATACACAACAGTTTGTATCGGTTGTATTTCACAGAATTAAATGATTGTCTCAGAATTGCAGTCATATTGCGTCTCCGTTAATATTTGATATCTTCAATATTGATCAAACGTAACGGGTTATTAACGACGGTAATCGTCGATTCGACACTGAAAACAAAAAGAAGAATAGTAAAACCGGAAACAAAAATGAAATAACGGAAACGAACAATAAAAATGTAATAAACTAACTAGGAATAATGGAAATGAAATTAACGTTTGAAAAAAATTGAAGCACCGATAGTTTCCCACATTTCGCAGGAAATGTATACTTGTTCCGTTAATTAAGGCTGAACGACACGGTTTCACACGCGATCCACGTGTTCAGAGGCGGTTTTTCGAGGCAGCGCCCTCGATAGATCTACGAACGGCCATTACACGACATTTCGACGAATTATAGGATACCGGACTGGTTTTAATCCTTTCACAATTTAGTCCTCTAGAGAGAAAGGCTCAATCGTATATTGACAACGTTAGTATACAGTAGACTCTCGTTATATTGCCGTTTTTGGGGAGAGGGATAGTTTGGATCGTTTCGAGGAATAATTTATTTAGGAAGGCTTATATTAATAAATTTTTGTGGATTTTTAATTAGAATTGTTTCTCAGTTTTCTTATATTCATTTTTTATTTGATTGTATTCAGTTCGGAGGCAATTCAAGATGGCGCGTGATCACGTGTTTATCGTATATCACACACATGATATAAAATTATTATAATTATTATCTCTAGATCTCTACATACACGAATATCTACATTCTCAAATTTCTATATTCCACAATCTCAGCATTTCTATATCTCCATATCTCCAAACCTCATATTTTCCTATCTCCAAATCCCGATAATCCCTAAATCCCCATATCTACACACTCGAAATTACAATCTACTCGATGACGATTTACAAATTTTTGTTTTCGAAAGTCTTCACAAGATACATACATAAAAATTATAATTATATAAAAAGAATTTGTGGAGTAACTCGTTGCAGTACCATTTGGATGGTCCGCCATTTTGTCAAGCTACATCTATTCCTCACAAGCTACATCTATCAAAATTATAATTATATAAAAAGAATTTGTGGAGTAACTCCTTGCAGTACCATTTAGGGTGGTCCGCCATTTTGTCAAGCTACATCTATTCCTCACAAGCTACATCTATCAAAATTATAATTATATAAAAAGAATTTGTGGAGTAACTCGTTGCAGTACCATTTAGGGTGGTCCGCCATTTTGTCAAGCTACATCTATTCCTCACAAGCTACATCTATCAAAATTATAATTATACAAAAAGAATTTGTGGAGTAACTCGTTGCAGTACCATTTGGATGGTCCGCCATTTTGTCAAGCTACATCTATTCTTCACAAGCTACATCTATCAAAATTATAATTATATAAAAAGAATTTGTGGAGTAACTCCTTGCAGTACCATTTAGGGTGGTCCGCCATTTTGTCAAGCTACATCTATTCCTCACAAGCTACATCTATCAAAATTATAATTGTATAAAAAGAATTTGTGGAGTAACTCTTTGCAGTACCATTTGGGTGGTCCGCCATTTTGTCAAGCTACATCTATTCCTCACAAGCTACATCTATCAAAATTATAATTGTATAAAAAGAATTTGTGGAGTAACTCTTTGCAGTACCATTTGGGTGGTCCGCCATTTTGTCAAGCTACATCTATTCCTCACAAGCTACATCTATCAAAATTATAATTGTATAAAAAGAATTTGTGGAGTAACTCTTGCAGTACCATTTAGGGTGGTCCGCCATTTTGTCAAGCTACATCTATTTCTCACAAGCTACATCTATCAAAATTATAATTGTATAAAAAGAATTTGTGGAGTAACTCTTTGCAGTACCATTTGGGTGGTCCGCCATTTTGTCAAGCTACATCTATTTCTCTCAAGCTGCATCTATCAAAATTATAATTATATAAAAAGAATTTGTGGAGTAACTCGTTGCAGTATCATTTAGGGTGGTCCGCCATTTTGTCAAGCATCGCGCATGCGCGCACGTGTGACAATATTGTTCTCAAAAGCGTACACGCGTACTTTGCACCTCGTTCTGGATTAAAGGAGCTTATCGCAACGTAGGACGTACGTCAATGTCCCATTTTTCTTTTCATTATTTTCTCTTTTGTTGCCTTATCTTTCAATAAGAATGATCGTGTCGATTGCTGTCGGCGTGAAAACTATCTCGAGAAAATATTGATAACCATTTAGATAGGCGAGTTGAGCGGAGAGCTGCAGATGTGTTTGTGAAATACCTGCGTAAGCAGATATGCAATGCGTTTATCGCGGCTTGATTAACCCAGTTGAGTGGCTGATAATTAATTCACCGAATTGACAATGGATTGAGTCAAATGGAGTGATTGGTTGGTTGGGATTATATGTTTAATTCCTTAATTCCTCAATTCTTTGGTTTCACAATTTCCTAATTTCCCAATTCTTTAGTTTCCCAATTCTCTAACTCCCCAATTCCATAATTTCCCAATTTCCTAATTTCCCAACTCGCTAATTTCTCAACTCTCTAATTTCCCAACTCTCGAATTTTCTAACTCTCCAATTTCCCAATTCCCTAATTTCCCAACTCGCTAATTTCTCAACTTTCTAATTTTCCAACTCCCTAATTTCCCGTCTTCCTAAATTCTCAACTCTCTAATTTCCCAACTCTCTAATTTCCAAGTCTCTAATTTCCCAATTCCCAAATTTCCCAACTCTCCAATCTCCTAATTCTCTAATTTCCCAATTCCCAAATTTCCCAACTCTCTAATTTCCCAACTCTCTAATTTCCAACTCTCTAATTTCCCAATTCCCTAATTTCCCAACTCTCTAATCTCCCAACTCCCTAATTCCCAACTCTCTAATCTCCCAACTCCCTAATTCTCTAATCTCCCAACTCCCTAATTTCCCAATTCCCTAATTTCCCAACTCTCTAATCTCCCAACTCCCTAATTTCCCTACTCTCTAATTTCCCAACTCCCTAATTTCCCAACTCTCCAATCTCCCAACTCCCTAATTTCCCACCTCTCTAATTTCCCAACTCTCTAATCTCCCAACTCCCTAATTTCCCAACTCCCTAATTTCCCAACTCCCTAATTTCCCAACTCTCTAATCTCCCAACTCCCTATTTCCCATCTCCCTTTTCCCACCTTCCTAACTCCCACCCCTTAATTTCCCATTTCTCCAATCCCCTAATTTCCCCAAATTTCAACGCCTCCAACTTCCTACTTCCAACCTCCTCACACAATATTTAAATAACAAAATGGCGTCCACAAGAATGACCTACAAGTCTGCATAAAAAGCAACACCTCAGCCATATACGACTCCAACCAAAGCACGCACAAACCGTCAACACGATTCGTTTTCATTGTAACTTTTATATTACTCTCTTTGTTTCAAGCAGCCTCAGTGAGAGGAAGTCGATGCGATTAATTTGCGAACGGCTTATCATTGATACTCGAATACAAAGTATCCCGTTACGGAGTAAGTTGAAAAGTGTTACGTGATATCAAGAACGTTTCTCCGATAAGATCACGTTCCGGCCCAGAGTCCGGTGGAACATTTCATTATTGTCTTATCAGCAATAACAATAACGATAACGAATTTATCGTTACTATTTTGTAAACTTCCAATGACAGATCTTCTATCGAATATGTAACGTTCTTTAGTTACTTTTTAGTTAGGGTAACTAGTTGTAAGAAAGATCTAGATCTGAGTAATATGGAGATTTAGGAAGAATTTGTAGAAAGAACGTTGAGGTAGAAAATATATTCCTAGGGAGAACGTGGACCTAGAAAAAACCCTAGATTGTCTTAGGTGAAATCTATTTAGTTATACTACTGTGTAGGACCTAGGGAAATCTGGATCTAAGAGAGATGCCTATAGAAAACCTACATGTAAACATCTACATCCAGGTCTAGGGAAATCTAGTATTCAAAATGTCCCTAAAATCATAACTTTGTCATAACCTTGACGCCATCTTTAAAATATGCATCCATTATATAAAATTACAATGTTAACAAAATAAATTGCAAATATTAAACATTACTTATGTGCTTCTATCATCTGTACACTAAAGTATACATAAATAACGATTTCTCTCCGTTTATTGCAGGAAAATAGCCACAACCCGCCTTCAAAATGGGGGCGCTATTCAGGAGCGAGACGATGGCCCTGTGTCAGCTGTTCATCCAACCAGAATCAGCCTATTTGTCTGTCTCTGAACTGGGAGAAACTGGCACGGTGCAATTTCGCGATGTAAGATCCACTAAACTTCGCTTTTTCTTATGACGATAGCCTTCATGGTCAACTAGTAAATAGTAAAAGTCGACGCTGTCAAGGATACACCAGCGCTCGATACAGTGACTTGCATTAATATTTACAAACTGTGATAATTATTTAAGTACTGTTGTCTCTTCTTTACTCGCCTGCAGGTGTTCTATGCGTGACCATTCATTAAAATTTTATTGGAACGATGTTTAGTGTATTTGTGACATTAGGGTGCTTTCATATGTGGAGAATTTATGTAGGGTCTTTCAATAAAATATTGATAATTATTATACAATATTCACATTTTGAATGTTGTTATTTTATAAAAAGAGGAATGTTGTTAAAAACGAGGACATTCATAAAGAAGAAATGAAGAACGTTAACTTAGTAATGTTATTACGAAATAGGATTGTTAGGAGACACGTCGATGACCGCCATTTTGAGTACTTGTCCTTTCAAAATGGCTGACGCAATGTCAAGTTAACTGTTCTCTATTTTACTTGTTAAACTATAATAAATAGAGTCGTAGCTACAATGTTAGATGACATTGAGAACCGCCATTTTGAATATTTGTCATTACAAAATGGCTGATGCAATGCCAACGTCACTACTGTCTATTTTATTTGTTAAACTATATCAGAGTGGTAGCTACAATGTTGGATGACACTGATGAGGACTGCCATTTTGAATATTTGTCATAAAATGGCTGATGCAATGCCAACGTCACTACTGTCTATTTTATTTGCTAAACTATATCAAAGAGTGGTAGCTACAATGTTAGATGACACTGATGAGGACTGCCATTTTGAATATTTGTCGTAAAATGGCTGATGCAATACCAACGTCACTACTGTCTATTTTATTTGTTAAACTATATCAAAGAGTGGCAGCTACAATGCTAGAGGACCGCCATTTTGAATATTTGTTATTTTAAAATAGCTGATGCAACATCAACGTAACTACTGCCTTATTCATCAAACTATGTTAAATAGAAAAGCGATAGCAACAATGTTATGTGACACTGAGGACCGCCATTTTGGTACATGTATTTCAAAATGGCCGACATGATTGCACTACTATTTCAGTTATAAAATGATATAAACCCACAAACATAACAGCAAAAATATTAAATAGTAATTGATGTACTAAATCATCTTGAATATTTGTTTTTTCAAAATGGCCGACACGACTGCACTACTATTTCATTTATAAAATAATATAAACCCACAAAAGTAATAGCAAAAATATTAAATAGTAATTGAAGTACTAAATCATCTTGAATATTTGTTTTTTCAAAATGGCCGACACGACTGCACTACTATTTCATTTATAAAATAATATAAACCCACAAAAGTAATAGCAAAAATATTAAATAGTAATTGATGTACTAAATCATCTTGAATATTTGTTTTTTCAAAATGGCCGACATAAAAGTACCTCAACCACTGTTCATATCACATGCAGTATGTCTACTTTTTATCAAGATGCTTTAAATTTGTGATCAGTTTTATTTCACCATGTAATTTATTTAAGTTGAAAGCAAATTATTTATGTTTCCTCGCAGCTGAATGGCGACGTGAATTATTTCCAACGAAAATTCGTGAACGAAGTACGTCGGTGCGATGAGATGGAGCGGAAGCTTCGGTACATCGAGGCGGAAGTGAGGAAAGATGGAGTACCAATCGAGGAGAACCTGACGGAACTACCAAGGGCACCCAATCCTCGCGCTATTATAGATCTCGAGGTTAGACTTCTTTTTATAAGCTGTTTCAAAACTAATACTCTTACTATACTTCTTGGAGTCTAGTCTTTTGAGTAGGCAGGCATTTTCTATGGCAATCAAATTTCACTATTACATAACATTAACACATTAATATCTTGTCCACCCTTGCTTTGGTCACATCTCCGACAAGCTCCATCATACGCTTCACATCTCATTTTCCAAACCATCTATAATTCTTTTCAACTCACACAACGTTGAACAGTCGTAAACTAGTCTTTCTTCCAAAATGCTGAAACCCTAAATCTCCAACCTTCCAAAATGCTGAAACCCTAAATCTCCAACCTTCCAAAATGCTGAAACCCTAAATCTCCAACCTTCCAAAATGCTGAAACCCTAAATCTCCAACCTTCCAAAATGCTGAAACCCTAAATCTCCAACCTTCCAAAATGCTGAAACCCTAAATCTCCAACCTTCCAAAACAATAAAATCCTAAAATAAAATTGCAACACCTTACCAAATACCCAAAATCCCAAATCATCAAACTCTCAAACCCTCAAAATCACAAATCACTGAACTACTAAACGCCAAGCGGCCAGAAAGGGGTTCACAGACGTCAAAACACGGCCCTGCCGTTAGACCCTAGTATAGACACTTATTAAATTTACTAGCTATATACGCACAATGGAATCAGAGCATTGATCATGCGTTCCGCGTCTAGCCAGTTATTTTGGGCGAATGTTTTAAGTAACGTGACATAAATTCAAAGTAATGATCCTATTTTTACTCGACAGAGTGCATTTTCACTATAATAATCGTTTCAACTCCTCCGAGAGGGGAACACGCATTTATTATCTCTTCACTGATAATTTTAATGACATCGCGTTTTAAAAATTAACATATATTATGACTTGTGCTGAACTCAGCGAATGTGCTGTTAGATAATATTTCTGCATAAGCAATTTTAATTTGTATTCGTTTGTATATTTTTGCATTTTTTATTTTATCGGGTTATATACTTAACCCTTTTTGTTAAAAATTTACTAGGTTTGGTAAAATTATTTGAACTTTATTCCTAGCCATCGAATTAGGATTTTCAGAGCATGATACACGTGTAACATTATTAACGCGTATCTTGTACTTCCACCCTTGCTTTGGTCACAGCTCCGACATGCGACACCACAAGCTTCATATCTCATTTTCCCAACCGTCTATAATTCTTTTCAACTGACACAACGTTGAACAGTCGTAAACTAGTCTTTCATAGGCAGACATTTTCTACGGCACTCAAATTTCACCTCCAGCTATCGACGCTCTAAACGCCCGCGCCTTAATCGCCCGTCACCCAATTTGATCATCGACAGTAACAAATCAGTTGCTACATCACCGTATTCGGTAATAATTTTGCACGCCCCAATTTTCCGTACATGACGTACAGTCATAAAAGCGAAATAACGTGGTCCTAATTCGATGGCCAGGACCGTACAGCATTGTACAAATACAGCTCGAGTAGAAAGTTTCAAAGTTGCTACTTCCCTAAAGCAAAAATAGCTTCGAGGGTTAAACTCGATTTCCAACGTGAAAAGTGCGATATGGAAGTACATTGTAGTACGAGGTCTTTCAAAGGTATCGGAACATCGTTGCGGGGTGTCTGAGAACTTTCACGAAGAGCTGTATCGGTCTGTGAAGTAGATGTTCATTTGACCGACGTATGATTGTATCGTTACAGGCCCATCTCGAGAAAACGGAGAACGATATATTAGAGCTGAGTCAAAACGCGGTGAATCTGAAGAGTAACTATCTCGAGTTGACGGAATTACAGCACGTGCTCGAGAAGACGGAAGGGTTTTTCACGGAGGTAGCTAAAGTAGTTCAGCAGCTTTTGCTCATAGGGTCGTCCTCCTTCGTGTAATCGATGTTACCGTTCTGTCGAAGAATCAAGATTCGTATCTTCTTCTATATCAACAGGAAGAGGCCAATGACTCGATCACCAGGACGCTTATTAACGAGGAGGCACAGAATTCGAGCGCGACGGGTCGGGGACGTCTCGAGTACGTTTATATTATATATTTAACCCTTTAACGGTTCGCTACATGAGTGAAGTGTGTCTCTTGGGAAGATGTTTGAAGAGGAGTTATAGATCTTTCACTCTTTCTCTTGTATTTACTTCGAGATTTTTTTGTTTTTGGATTGGATGGTTTTTGTATTTTTGTGGTTATTAGATTTGTAAATTGGTCGATAGCATAATTTTTGAATTACTAAATTATCGAGTTTAAAAAATTTTAAGATCTTACAGTATGGAATTTTTATATTTCTCAAGACCCATATTTGTGAATTTGCAAATTCACTAATTGACAACTGCTTAATTTCTCAATTCTCTGATTCTCCAATTTCACAACTCTGTAATTTCCCAATTTCAGAATTTCCCAATTCCATAATTTCCCAATTTCATAATTCCCCAATTCCATAATTTTCCAATTTCATAATTTCCCAATTCCATAATTCCCCAATTCCATAACTTCCCAATTCCATAACTTTCCAATTCCATACTCCCCCAATTCCCCAATTCCCCAATTCCATAACTTCCCAATTTCATAATTCCCCAATTCCATAATTTCCAAATTCCATAATTTCCTAATTCCATAACTTCCCAATTCCATAATTCCCTAAATCCATAATTCCCCAATTCCATAATTTCCAAATTCCATAACTTCCTAATTCCATAATTTCCCAATTCCATAACTTCCCAATTCCATAATTCCCCAAATCCATAATTCCCCAAATCCATAATTCCCCAATTCCATAATTTTCCAGTTTCATAATTTCCCAATTCCATAACTTCCCAATTCCATAATTTCCCAATTCCATAGCTTCCTAACTCCATAACTTCCCAATTCCCCAATTTGCCAATTACCTAATTTCCCAATTCTCTAACTTCCCAATTCCCCAATTTGCCAATTACCTAATTTCCCAATTCCCTAATTTCCCAATTCTCTAAGTTCTCAATTCCCTAATTTCCCAATTCCATAATTATTTAATTCACTAATTCCCCAATTTTCTAGTTCCCTAATGCTCTAATTTCCCAGTTAAAAAATTCCCAAATTCCCTAATCTCCAAATTCCTTATTTTCCAAATCCCCAAATCCCCCAAAATTCCTATATTCACCAAATTCCCCAAATCCCCAAATCCTCCAAATTCCCCAAATCCTCCAAATCTTCCAAATCCCCCGAAATTCCTAAATCCACCAAATCCTCCAAATTGCCTTAATCCCCAAATTCCCCAATAACCTTCTTTAATTCCCCGTTTGTTAAATCCCCAAAACTTGTGTAGAATCAATACAAATACCATATGCGTTTGATTTGATAAAACGTTTTAATTACAGATTCGTTGCTGGAGTGATAAATCGCGAACGGGTACCGGCCTTCGAGAGAATGCTATGGCGGATATCCCGAGGGAACGTGTTCCTGCGCCAGGCTGAGCTTGAGAGGCCGCTCGAGGATCCAGCCACTGTTAGTCCACATTTTATTATTCCATTCTCTTTTATTTCACTAATTACTTTTGTTAACTAAGGAAATTCACTAAAATTGTTGCCCATTGAAGAAAATTTTAAAAATAAGTACGAATACAAGGTTTAATAGAAGGCTTTAACCAAGTGCCATCTTTCCGGACGCACACGTTTTTTCTCATTTTTAGCCACATTTTGAGGTTTATGAAAAACTTCATTAAATACAAAAATATTTGAAATATGAAACTTTGAAAAATGATGGGCAACATTTAAATAATTTGTTAATTAATTAATTTATTAGAAATATGTATTTATTGATGACAGTATTATTCAGATAATATTTTAATATTTTGCAGTCAGGAAACGTAACGGTATGTCCTTAATAATATTAAAATATATTAAAATAGAGTTCGATCATTATAAATGTATATATTTTCCTCGTTTCATTGATTCGTTCCGATATCATTTGTCGAAAGAAAATTCTTTGCTATCGGTAGTGGCAAACGAAAGCTTGTTCGTGAGTTGCTTCAGTATCTTCAATTAACCCATTGAGATCTCATTTGTTTTCAGAGCGTTGCAACTGGAGAGCAACATTACTCTCGCCACTTGGTAACTGAGATACTTTCAATCAATTTTCAATTTCCACGTGTTGATTAAACATGCAAATATAAAACCAAGCTTATTTTTAGAACGTAATCATTCATTAATCATTAATTGTTATTGTCCTATTTTATTTTCATTTCGATTATTTAAATACTACAGTTTTCCTGTTTTTCTAGATGAATTTTCCATTTCCTAATTTTCTAAGTTTTTTGATTTCTAGTTTTTCCATTTTTTCATTTCTTCAATTTTCTGTTGGTTAGATTTCTCAATTTTTCAGTTTGCAGTTTTCTAGTTTCGCAATTTTCCTATTTCCCACGTTCCTAATTTCCCAATTTCCCACTTTCTCAATTTCCCACTTTCTCAATTTCCCACTTTCCCACTTTCCTAATTTCCCAATTCTCCTATTTCCTACGTTCCCAATTTCCCATTTTCCCAATTTCCCATTTTCCCAATTTCCCACTTTCCCAATTTCCCACTTTCCCAATTTCCCACTTTCCTAATTTCCCAATTCTCCTATTTCCCACGTTCCCAATTTCCCATTTTCCCAATTTCCCACGTTCCCAATTTCCCCCTTTCCTAATTTCCCATTTTTTCAATTTCCCACTTTTCCAATTTTCCACGTTCCCAATTTCCTACTTTTCTAATTTCCCATTTTTCCAATTTTCCACTTTCCCAATTTCCCACGTTTCTAATTTCCAAATTCCGTAATTTCCACACTCTCTATTTTCCGAACTCTCTAATTTCCCAACTCTTTAATTTCCCAACTCTCTAATTTCCCAACTCTCTAATTTCCCAGTTCCCGAATTTTCCAACTCTCTAATTTCCCAACCCCTTAAATTCCCAACTACCTAATTGCCAACTGCCTAATTTCCCAATTCTCTGATTCCCCAATTCCCCAATTTCCTACCTTTACAAATCCCTAATTCCCCAAATCCATAATTCCCCAATTCCATAATTCCCTAATTCCATAATTCCCCAATTCCATAATTTCCCAATTCCATAATTTCCCAATTCCCTAAATTCCCATCTCTCTAGTTTCCCAACTCTCTAATTTCCTACCTCTCTAACTTCCCAATCCCCTAATTCCCCAACTACTTAATCTCCCAATTTCCCAATTTTCCCCTCAATCGTTCAATCCCTCAATTATCCAATTTCCTGCTCTACTAAACTCCCAAATTTCTAAATTATGATTTATAGAAAATAATCATTCGTTAATCATTATTTTTCAACCTCCGTATGATTGTACTTATTTAGAACAACAGCTCCAGAGCATTAACACGTTGACGACCATACATTACAAATGTACCATAATTCTTCGTATCACATCATTATCTCTAGATTTATGGAAACCATGAAAATCTCTGATCCAAATATGTCAATTTCACCGCAGTATCATAAACGAACATGTTAAAAATAATTCCCTAAATCTATAGTTAATGAAACTATAATAGCAACATATACAAATTTTTATAATATCACAACCCATTTTTGCATCACAATTATTCAACAATCACCAAAAGGTCGTCAACGTGTCATACAATAACCATTGACATTTAAAACAAAATCAAATTATTATTATTATTTATTAAAAAGGTTGAAATGCTTTGCAACTAAAAGCCACCAAGAGTGTGACTCGTTTTACAAGTTTTATTAAGGTTCTCCGTGTGGGTCTCAATGGATTAGTTGTGAGACTAACCAAACACCCCGACTTATCCCTCACCGTCACTTCCGAGTCTTGTAGTTTGATACGTACAAGTTTTGCGCGCGTGAACTGTTTCAGGGTAACAAGATGTACAAAACCGCGTTCGTCGCGTTCTTCCAAGGGGAGCAGCTCAAGAGCCGAATCAAGAAAGTTTGCAGCGGATTTCATGCCTCTTTGTACCCCTGTCCTCATAGCCACGCTGAACGGGCGGAAATGGTTAAGGGTGTTCGTACTAGATTGGAGGATTTGAATTTGGTGAGAATCTTTTAAGAGGTTTATAATTTTTCAATTTTTCAATTTTTCAATTTTTCAATTTTTCAATTTTTCAATTTTCCCATTTTCCCATTTTTCAATTTTCCACTTTCCCAATTTTCCACCTTCCTAATTTCCTACTTTCCCAATTTTCCACCTTCCTAATTTCCCACTCCCCCAATTTCCCACCTTCCTAATTTCCCACTTTCCCAATTTCCCAGCTTCCTAATTTCCCACTTTCCCAATTTTCCACCTTCCTAATTTCCCACTTTCCCAATTTTCCACCTTCCTAATTTTCCACCTTCCTAATTTTCCACCTCGCCAATTTCCCAATTCTCTAATTCCCTAACTCCCTAATTTCCCACCTCGCTAATTCCCCAACTCCCTAATTTCCCAGCTTCCTAATTTCTCAATTCCTTAAGTTCCCAATCCTCTAATTTCCGAATTTCCAAATTTCCCACCTATTGAAATATTGATATTCCTGCCTATTGAAATATTGAAGCACTAAAATTGCTTCCCTGCGACTCTCGTTATATTGCCGCTCTTCCATCTTACAGGTCCTCAATCAAACTGACGACCACCGTCAACGCGTGTTGCACAACGTAGCCAAGGAGCTGCCCAACTGGATGATCATGGTCCGGAAAATGAAAGCAATATACCATACTATGAACCTCTTCAACATGGACGTTTCGAAGAAGTGCCTTATAGGGGAATGTTGGGTACCCATAGCGGATCTTACTATTGTCCGGAACTGTCTCAACGAAGGATCGGTTAGCTTTCATATTATTTTTCTTATCATTTGCATTTTTTACATCGACAATCAACAATGTTGAATCTGGAGATTTACGGATTCAATTATAGAAATCTACGGATATTTGTCTCATAAAGATTTGTTTTCCCCTGAAGATAAGATTTTCCCATTTAAAATCAATGTTCTGTTTAATATTTTACTTCCTTCAGCGTCTCTGTGGTAGTTCGATACCATCTTTCCTCAATGTTATCTACACAGACGAGAATCCCCCGACGTTTAACAGGACCAACAAATTCACCAGAGGTTTCCAGAATTTGATCGACGCTTACGGAGTGGCATCGTACCGCGAAGCTAATCCGGCCCTCTACACCATAATCACGTTTCCTTTTCTGTTTAGCATCATGTTCGGAGATTGTGGACACGGTAAGCGATCATTAGGTACAATGTACAGTAGAGTTCGAATAGCTGTTCACATGAGGATGAGTCTAAAATATCTACTGACGCCAAACCGCCATTTGCAATCGGTGTACATTTAAGATGGCGCCCAAAAGTACAATACCGATGTCAACCCACGAGTTGGCGCGCGAAGCCGACGTGTTTAGAAGAGCTAGTCAGAATAGAAAAATGGACGCCTCACACGTATTTTCGGCGGAACAATTGGCTCTCGCCGGTCACGCGCACCGATTAGGCGAAAAACAATGAGAGTCGGCAAACGTCTCTCGAGTGAGCGAGATAGCCATTGCCTTCAGCAGTTGTTGTCATTATTATTCTTATGCGCCGAAATGTAACTGGAAGTGTTCACGGTGAGGAGCTTCTTTTACTTTGGGTCACGCGGCATCTCGTGGGTTATCTGTATGTCGATTGTCGACATCTGAAGCTGTCTAAAATTTGAAGGTATCGTGTGGACAGTTACCGAGGGCACCTATCTAAAGTCTCTTTCAAATGGAATATAAACTTACATGTGTACACTTATCAAGAGCTATCTAAAATTTGAAGACATCTGCACAATTATTGAAGTCTACCTATGTGCAAGTCCAAACTGATCGAAATGTATGTTCTGACACAGGTTTGATCATGGCCCTTTTCGCATTGTTCATGATCATAAAGGAGAAGAAGTTTATGGCTGAAAAATCATCGTCCGAAATATGGAACATATTTTTTGCCGGCCGTTATATTATCCTCCTGATGGGTTTGTTTTCCATTTACACCGGCCTCATCTACAACGACTTGTTCTCAAAGTCGCTTAACCTGTTCGGATCTAGTTGGTCCATTCCGTACAACGTATCGACGGTCCTAGAGAATCCTTCTCTACAGCTGAATCCGGTCGAGGCTTATGCACAGGCGCCCTATCCTATGGGCATGGATCCGGTGTGGGCGCTCGCTGATAACAAGATCATTTTTCTGAACTCCTACAAAATGAAGTTGTCCATCATCTTTGGGGTGGTCCACATGATTTTTGGTGTCTGCGTCAGCGTCGTTAATATCATGTACGTTCTTTCAGATTTATACATACTTATTACTTATTACTACTTGTATACTTCATTGCTTAGTTGGCATTTTTACTTGGTAGGGTAGACTCTTGTTATATTGCCGTTTGACGTTCTTTTCTTATGGAGTTGTCAGATTACTAAGTTTCGAAGTTCTAAAATTCAGTAATTTACAAATCTCCAAATCTTCGCTCCCTCTCTGCTTCCTTACTCCACGGCAATATATCGAGAGCCGTGTAAAAATATTTATACCAACTATGTATTCCTCAATCATTAATAATCAACTCCATGTGTTTACAGAAATTTCAAGAGGTACGCGAGCCTGCTACTCGAATTCCTGCCCCAGCTGCTCTTCCTTCTAGTGCTATTCTTTTATCTCGTCGTCTTGATGTTCGTCAAATGGGTCCTATACGATGCCTCCTCACCGGGTAAGTACACATAATCTTATAACCAAGCATCTGTTATACTAACATATATTCCTTACAGATTATGCATATGGTTCTGCATGTGCTCCGTCGGTCCTCATCACGTTCATCAACATGATACTTCAAGGACACGCCACGCCACCAGAAGGTTGTTCAGAGCATATGTTCGCCGGTCAAACATACGTGCAAATAGCGTGCGTTATCGTCGCCGCACTATGTATTCCTGTACTGCTCTTCGGGAAACCATTACACTTCCTCATAACGAAACGCAGGAAGGCTCAGAGTAAAATTCTGGTAAGAGTAAATTTTATTAGCATATTGTCTGCACATCAGTAATATAACCTAGCAGTCAACCCACGAGCCGTAGTTTTTCTAAATACACTTCTTCGTGCGCCAACGCATGGATTGGTAGCGGTACTCTTCTCCGGCATAGTCGGTTCGGTGGGAATTTAACTTGTCCCTTCACTTTTCAGGCACAGATCGGTTCACGACCTGTCTCTAAAATACACAACTTGCAAAGCACCTACATAAATTATGAAGTATCCTATTATAATTATAATGCATCTTTCAGAGTAACGGAAGCACCTCCCAAGACATCGAATTACAAAGCGAGGGTCTGCAAAACGCCGGTCCGTCGAACACCGACGCCGCCGGTGGCCACGACGAGCACGACACGTTCGGCGACGTGATGATCCACCAAGCCATCCATACCGTAGAGTACGTCCTCTCGACGATATCGCACACTGCCTCTTATCTCCGTCTATGGGCTCTGTCACTAGCCCATGGTCAGCTCTCCGAAGTGCTGTGGTCTATGGTGTTGCGTAAGGGGCTTTCCGGGGACAGCTATGTAATGAGCGTCTTCTTGTTCTGCACATTCGCTGCTTGGGCCTTCTTCACGCTCGCCATCTTGGTGCTGATGGAGGGGCTGTCGGCTTTCCTTCACACTCTACGACTTCACTGGTATCTTATTTTTCCTAGATTCTTATTTTACTAGATTCTGGACCTTCAAATTCAACACAAGATCTTCACAATGTTTACTGATTTATTTTTCCAGGGTGGAGTTCATGAGTAAATTCTACGACGGCCAAGGTCAAGCTTTCCAGCCATTCTGTTTCAAGAGCATCCTAGATGCGGAAGAGACCGGCGAGGATTAATTAGCTCATCGATGGCCTTATAAAAGATAATCAATTTTACGATACGAGAACGAGGTACATTCGCCAAAAGAACATATCTTAAGAAATTTTTACGAACGCGAGTGATCGCGAATTTTAAAAGAATCGTCGTTCCTTTTAAATCGTAAGGCAACAGTATTCGGTGTCTTCTACGAGTTACTTCGTATATTTAAGATAGACTTAACATTTTTATCTTTTGAGCTTCACTTATCGCTTTCGAAAGTTGCATTAGCAATATTCGCGTAACGAAGGGAACAATCACAGAAATTGGGTTACAAGGCCGTCGAGGGAGTCTTTCCTAAGGTTTTAAATTAAATATTAAGGACGTTTCATGAGTTTAGAGCTGTCGAACTCTTTAATTGGTCGTTGGATAAGTTCAATCCCGGAGGTGCAAGTTTACGTAGCGTTACCGTTAGTGCTGTGGGTAAATGTACCTCATCGGGCAGGGACGTTGTTTTGCTTCTATTTTGATTTCTAAGTTCGTACATTTTGAGATTTCTGGGTTTCTGAATCTTTATATGCGTGGAACTTACATTTCTGGGTTCCTAGATTGCCTAGATTCGTTATATGGCCGAATCCCTATGTGCTGAGGTTCCTATGTATCGAATCTGTACATCCTGAGATTTCTATATGTTCAAACCCTTGTATTCTTGGATTCCTAGATGGTTTAATCTCTCTATATCCATGGAAGCACATCCCTAGATCCCTAGATTCCTAGATTCATTTCTAACCTACTAGAATCCTAACCTAACTTCTATTATTTCCATAAGCCTCCTCGGCGGCTCTTAAAAGTAAAACCCATAACTCAACACGAAGAATACTTATCACCGCAATTTTGAAGTCTTAAATTTTTGCTAAAAATATTAATATCAAACTTTCACGAGAAGAATGTTACGTTCAGTCTCCTCACGATTAATTTACTATTTGCGACTCGCGAGAAATACAAAGTTGTCTTATGACGAATAGAAGATTAATAAAACGTACCGCGAATCCACGAGTTGGCGCATGAGGAGCTATCGTTTACAGCTGATCTCACGCGCCAACTCATGGGTTGCCAGCAGTACCTTACGTAGTTTCGGGATGCAGCGAGATGTTAGTCTTTCGTCTAGGTCACGCAGCAATGCGTTGCGTCAATTAAACACGCGACATGACGAGATCGGTGCACGTTATATTCATTCCAGTGATCATTGTCAGAATATCTTCTACGACGACCATCATACAATACAATGTGTGCACAATATTGTACGAACGAAATCTGGAGAGGGATACGTAACCCAAGAGTACAAATTGTTGGTAAGAGTGATTGCAAGAGGTATACGTCCTTCGATGAATAGAGAGAAGCGCCGTTACAGATGTATGTTGATAAAGAGAGTGATTCAAATATACATACGACTATATTTTATCAACACTGTGAGTCAGCTGTGCACAACTAGTGCCCGTCGGGCAATGACCAATTCTGACCGCATCAAATATTTCTGTTATATAAATATTTCTCTCCCATTTTAAAATTAGCTGACTTTTGAGATACGACTTTGACTTGTTATATAACTTTGACCCGTGGGCAACGAGTTGTGCAGCTCTGCTGTGGACATATTTATCAAACACCTAACCCCTTTTCTTTTTATTAAGATTTTTACTAGTAAGATTAAAGTACGTAGAACGTATGTAGCTTTTCATCCCGTTCGACAGAGATGCGCGCGCTTATGCAACGATTTTCTGCGCTCAACTTATACGGCGCGAGTTTAGTCGACGTGACGCGGTCGTGTGCTGTGCTCGCGCGCGCGTCTTCCCCTCTTCTGACAGAGGACACGCTCACAGGTGAGTACATATACACACACGCGTGCATGCAGCGACGCATGCGCAGTAGGAGTCACCCCGAGACGCGACAGTTTTAATGGACCCAGGTGGAAGCTGACGGCTCAACTTCGATCTCTTATTGTGTCACGATATTTTTGATAGCTTGCTAGGAATGGTTGGCAATTTTGATAGAGTTGGTTAAATATTTTGTATGCCTTTTGTATAGTAAAGATATTGGAACTGTGTATTGATGTTTGTGATAGGGGTGACTTGGTTGGGGTACAGAAATAAAATGTCTGAAGTGAAGTCTTTGATGTGGAGGCTTATTGGTTATTTGGAGAGAATTTTTTGATAAAAATTTGGAGGGTTTGATTGTATACATGTAAGTTGAGTTGGAGAGTATCATTTATGAAGGGTTGAATTGGAGAGTATTCAGTAATTAGGGGATGAAATTTATTTTGAACGAAATAAAATAAAGGGAGAAAAATTTCCGTTTTATATATATGTAAATATTTTATAGATTTTTGTTTTTTACGTTCTGTTTAATTGCAATAAAATTTTAAATATTAATCTGGGATTGAATATATAACATTTGAGAAATATTTACGTATCTAAATATATCTCACAATGTCTATTTTAATTATTAATTAAATTTTATAGGTCTTTTATTGCTTCTCTTTTACAAAGGTGTTTATAGAAGTTATTTCACTATAATTATATTATTGGGACATTGAACCTGTGTGAATTACAATTTAATTAAATTAAATACATAATTAAACTTTTTAGTCAAATTTGTATTTTAAATTAAAGTAACTTAATCATGTACCTCCTAGACAGAGTATAAAACATAATACCTCGTTGTAAAGTAATTAAATTACAAAATTGAAAGAGATTTGCAAGCTCTATTCATAGGTGCTTTTTAAAATTCATATCTGTGCGCGCGCTTTTCTAAAACACCGTACTGACGACATCTAGCGGTGCATTATGGTACATACAAAAAAGAAAATTGCAATTTTCTTTAAAATTACTTACTTTTATGCTTTTCTGAGATGAGTACAATGATCTTTGACTTCATACGAACTGAAATAATTCCATCAGATTTTGTGGAAAGCATATGTAACGAGAAATAAAAAAATTTGCATTGAATGGGTAGCCACCTAGCGGTAGAAGGTGGGAACTAATGAAACTACTGTTTCAAAAGTGTGTAGTTCACCCTGTTTGCCGGAGAGATGGCGCCACTAGTTCAATTTTCTGAAAATTCAATTATTATTAATTTTATAGGCTTAATTTATTATAATACGCATTCCTAAGTTAATTAGACTAGCATTCCGATGTAATTTGATGTATATTATAGCCTCGTTGTAAAGTAATTAAATTACAAAATTGAAAGAGATTTGCAAGCTCTATTCATAGGTGCTTTTTAAAATTCATATCTGTGCGCGCGCTTTTCTAAAACACCGTACTGACGACATCTAGCGGTGCATTATGGTACATACAAAAAAGAAAATTGCAATTTTCTTTAAAATTACTTACTTTTATGCTTTTCTGAGATGAGTACAATGATCTTTGACTTCATACGAACTGAAATAATTCCATCAGATTTTGTGGAAAGCATATGTAACGAGAAATAAAAAAATTTGCATTGAATGGGTAGCCACCTAGCGGTAGAAGGTGGGAACTAATGAAACTACTGTTTCAAAAGTGTGTAGTTCACCCTGTTCGCCGAAGAGATGGCGCCACTAGTTCAATTTTCTGAAAACTCAATTAATACTGATTTTATAGGCTTAATTTACTAAAATATGCATTCCTAAGTTAATTAGACTTGCATTCCGATGTAATTTGATGTATATTATAGTAAATTAAGCCGTAAAATCGAATTTTTGGAAAATGAGGTCGGTGGCGCCATCTCTCCGGCGAACAGGGTGAACTACACTGTTTTGAAACTCTACTTTGATTAGTTCCCATATGTGCCACTAGGCGGCGCCACGTGCATCGTTTCGGACCAATTCAATTAATATAATTGATTTTATTAGCTTAATTGACTATTATATATATCAAATTACATTGGAAAACAAGATTATGAATATTTATGAACATTTTGACTTTACAAAATTATTTTTAATTTACCTCTTTCTTCAGAAAACAGTCATATTTTGAATGACATCACTTTTTGCATATAACCTCTCTTAATAATTCATATTGGATCTGCATTTCAATAAATTTGATCCTCATTCTAATTTTTAATGGAACAATACTGAAACTGTTAACTTATCATCACAATATAACATACTCTCACAATAATCATCCATAAAATACTCATACATCCATAAATTTAATAAAAATAAATATAGCAAACTTCATATCTTCAAGATCCTATCTCTTCGTACAGACTAATCACTTTGTAAATTGCATTATAAGTACTTCAGACACTGCGTGCATTAATTTGCAATGTAGATGCACTTGTTCGACGTTTCAACTTCTTACAGTAATTAAACGAGACGTATATCAGTTTAACACGACATGTCGTGTTAGCAAATGGCGCGTAAAGTTGAAACGCGTTGACCTGTCCTTATATAAGGCGTCGTTTTACCACTATCTTAATTGTTAGGTTAATTCCTGACGGATTAAATGACATGAAGTCGATATATTATTGACGATACTAGTCAATGACAATTATAGCTACTGGAATTTATTTAATTCTTTGGGTTTTTTGATTGAGAAATTGTTTTATGGTTGGGCTAGGTTTTATGGTTGGGCTAGGTTTTATGGTTGGGCTAGGTTTTATGGTTAGGCTAGGTTTTATGGTTGGTTTAGGTTTTGTGGTTAGGTTAGGTTTTATGGTTAGTTTAGGTTTTATGGTTAGGCTAGGTTTTATGGTTAGTTTAGGTTTTATGGTTAGGCTAGGTTTTATGGTTAGGTTAGGTTTTATGGCTAGGCTAGGTTTTATGGTTAGTTTAGATTTTATGGTTAGGCTAGGTTTTGTGGTTAGTTTAGATTTTATGGTTAATTTAGATTTTATGGTTAATTTAGGTTTTATGGTTTATTTAGGTTTTATGGTTAGGTTAGGTTTTATGGTTAGGTTAGGTTTTATGGGGATTCACCTAATTCTTGAAGTATTCTTAAGAGGGTTTCCCCTCTTATTCACTGTTACATGAGAATTTATCCAATTTCAGAACTGTTACATGAGAATTTCATTGATTCTAAAACTCTTACATGAGGATTTTTCTTTTTTGTCAAATAGACAAACAATTAAATAATTTTCAGCAAATAATCACTAACATAAGAATCAAAAAATAATTAAAGGGATAAAGAAAACAAGAGCAGCAACTGTTAAACGCCATCTTCTATAACAAGGACAAATAACAAGGAGGTCAAAAGATAGTTTAAAAATAAAATATTGTTGGTAACATTAATAATCTTTATTAGTAACATCAACCATATAAATACTTCTCTTGTTATTCAACAACAGGATATAAAATAACATAATTTGATCAACAGTTAAAGTAGAACACATAAATATTATATGAACTTATATTACATACATGTGTACAGATGCCAACCCATTGGTACATTCAAATTTTTAGTCTCTTCGCGCCAACTCATGGGTTGGCAGCGGTACATACTTTGCATTCGATTTTCTTATCTATAGACAGAGATAACCTTAAAATGATATATATCAAGGATTTTAACAAATCTCTGTTATCTTTATGACAATTATATATTACAAGAGATGTTGTGCGATCGCAGTCTCTATTTACATAATTGAATATAATTGTCTTTTATAGAGGTATTTTTTATCAACGATCTATGAGTATGTACATATTATTGAGATAACCACTTGAAGTATTAATTGAAGAATCGAGTGTTTTTAATCCTCTTAAAAATTTGGTCCCTTGAATATACCCTACTTATTTCTAAAAAACAACTTACAAAATAGTGGAAAATATTTGTATTTCTTATATTAAGCTACTTTCTAAACATATCTCCTTTGAAAATAAACTTTGTCAAGTATAAATTACGTAATTAATTTATCGTAAATAAATAATCATTTAAGCTTAATTATCTAATTGTTAATTTTATCGTAATTATCTAAAACCTTACAATTACAAACACTTAGAATTACTTATCATAAATCTATATAACAATTTAAAATATCTGCAAGTGTTCTCGTAGATATGAAAAAAAGGCGGGAAAAAGAAAAGTTTGAAAAATGATAACCCAGTAGAAAATCTTCTGATAGAAAGACAGTTCATTAAGGCACAATAATGTTCATTATGTTTAATTCATTGTGCACGTTATATAGAAAAATATTTTCTTTAACTTCCTTATTTTGTTTTCATATAAAAACGTTCAAAGGCACATATGGTCACTATACCAAAATTATTAGTGCAACAAATAGTTGAAACTGATTATAAAATAATTTTGAAAGATGCAAAGAAGTCAGTCTTTCCAAGTTGTATACAAAGAACAAATTCATGGACCAAATTAAAAACAAAGTGTAATAACAAATATGTTTAACACGTGGACTGTTTTCTTGTAAACAAATTGGAGGAATCTTTCATTATTTTTTCTTGATATGTGTTAGGATGAGGAGATAACAAAGACCTTAGGTATCATCACATGTCTATACACATATGCAATTTATAGGACAGATAAGGCAAGAGGTATCCTTCCCCACATGGTAACTCCATTTTAATAACCCCATAGATTCCCCATACTCTAATAATGCAAAATAAGGACCTAGATCCTCCAATCCCCTCATCCTCACACATAAACAATAACTCAAACACCCTCCAAATTATTTTTATCCAAAGAAACATCCCAACAAAGCTAAATTTCCCACAATTCCTCCAGCCAACGCAGCGCCATCTAGCGTCCTCCTCGCGTAACCAGAACCTAACCAAAGTCCATGGCAGTTTAACAAAAATCAGAACAACTCTCTCAAGTTAACTTTCCCTCCCATTTTCCGCCTGGTTGAGTTTCTCCTTTTCATCCTTATCTCCCAGCTGGTTCATAGTAACCTCATAGCTACTGCCTTTCCTCCTGGAGCCCAGGCACGTGGTAAAGCAGGTGTCGTTCTTACCGAAGTTCTCTCCGTCCTCGATGGTTTCCGGCATGGCTTGGTTGACCGTCTCGGGTAGATACATCGACAGGAAACCGGACACCAGAGCGACGAAGCCGAACAACACCGCGGGCACTTTGGGATTGAAGGAGTCCAGTAGCATTATGAGGGGAGTCAACGCGCCGCTCAGACGGGCGCACATAGAGCCGATCCCTAGGGCGGTGTTCCTAACCACAGTGGGGAACAGCTCGGCCGTGTAGTTATAGATGACCGCGAAGGAGACCGCTATGCAAGCCTTGCCCACGAGTACTATGGTCACAATGGCAGTCGAGGAGATGCTCGTGCCCGTAGGGATGGTGGACGCGAGGATGCAGCACACTCCTCCGACCAGCATGAAGCTGGACACCAGACACCTCCTCCCTGTACGGTCCATCACCAAACAGATCAGGATATACGCCGGCAATTCAACCAAGGCGCTCAGGAACAGCATCAGGAACGGATTGCCCACCAGGTTGCCCGAGTTCAGCGACAGCCCGTAATACACTATGGAGTTAGCGAACCAGTTCAGACACACGTTCAGAGTCTTCTTCCTGAGGTTGGGCGTCTTCGTTGTATACAAAGAACAAATTCATGGACCAAATTAAAAACAAAGTGTAATAACAAATATGTTTAACACGTGGACTGTTTTCTTGTAAACAAATTGGAGGAATCTTTCATTATTTTTTCTTGATATGTGTTAGGATGAGGAGATAACAAAGACCTTAGGTATCATCACATGTCTATACACATATGCAATTTATAGGACAGATAAGGCAAGAGGTATCCTTCCCCACATGGTAACTCCATTTTAATAACCCCATAGATTCCCCATACTCTAATAATGCAAAATAAGGACCTAGATCCTCCAATCCCCTCATCCTCACACATAAACAATAACTCAAACACCCTCCAAATTATTTTTATCCAAAGAAACATCCCAACAAAGCTAAATTTCCCACAATTCCTCCAGCCAACGCAGCGCCATCTAGCGTCCTCCTCGCGTAACCAGAACCTAACCAAAGTCCATGGCAGTTTAACAAAAATCAGAACAACTCTCTCAAGTTAACTTTCCCTCCCATTTTCCGCCTGGTTGAGTTTCTCCTTTTCATCCTTATCTCCCAGCTGGTTCATAGTAACCTCATAGCTACTGCCTTTCCTCCTGGAGCCCAGGCACGTGGTAAAGCAGGTGTCGTTCTTACCGAAGTTCTCTCCGTCCTCGATGGTTTCCGGCATGGCTTGGTTGACCGTCTCGGGTAGATACATCGACAGGAAACCGGACACCAGAGCGACGAAGCCGAACAACACCGCGGGCACTTTGGGATTGAAGGAGTCCAGTAGCATTATGAGGGGAGTCAACGCGCCGCTCAGACGGGCGCACATAGAGCCGATCCCTAGGGCGGTGTTCCTAACCACAGTGGGGAACAGCTCGGCCGTGTAGTTATAGATGACCGCGAAGGAGACCGCTATGCAAGCCTTGCCCACGAGTACTATGGTCACAATGGCAGTCGAGGAGATGCTCGTGCCCGTAGGGATGGTGGACGCGAGGATGCAGCACACTCCTCCGACCAGCATGAAGCTGGACACCAGACACCTCCTCCCTGTACGGTCCATCACCAAACAGATCAGGATATACGCCGGCAATTCAACCAAGGCGCTCAGGAACAGCATCAGGAACGGATTGCCCACCAGGTTGCCCGAGTTCAGCGACAGCCCGTAATACACTATGGAGTTAGCGAACCAGTTCAGACACACGTTCAGAGTCTTCTTCCTGAGGTTGGGCGTCTTCAGGAGGTCCACCGCCCCGTAGGACCGCTCCTCCTGCTCCGTCTGCCGCACCTTGCCCTCGCTGATCAGCTTCTCCGTGTCGATCTCCACGTTGTTCCCGTTCATCTTGAGCCCCTTGCGAATGATCGCCAGGGCCTCGCTGATGCGACCCTGCGCCCACAGCCACCTGGGCGACTCGTCCATCAGCCACCAGTGGCCGATCAGCAGCGCGCTGTGCAGACCATAGGTTATCTGCAGCCACATCCTGTCCTTGATCACTGCGCCCCACACCGCGACCAGCATGAAGCCTACCGCGAACGCCAGCTGGAACATCACCCCGCAGATGGTCCTCTTCGAGGCGCCCACCAGCTCCATGGTCAGCACGAACCCGGTTATGTACGCGCCCGCGGACCCGAAGATGCCGTAGAGGAACCTGATGATCAGGAAGATGTAGTAGTTGTTGATGAGCGCCACCGACACTCCCAGGACCAGCTGGGCCACGGAGGACACGTAGAAGATTATCTTCCGGCCGTGCTTGTCCGCCAGGCTGCCCAGCGTCACTGCTCCGATGAACACGCCGAACATGTACGTGGACTGCGCCACGGCGCCCATCCACCGTTGGGAGCACACGAAGTTCCACTCCATCCCTCGGGACGACTGGAAGTACTGTGTGTCGTAGGTCCACGAGTCGCACTTCTTGATGACGTTGTCGGTGTCCAGGTAGTGGCACGAGTCCACAGCCTGCGGGAGCGTCGCGTTAGGCTCCGAGGCGTTCAGGTAGCTAGGTCCGGGCACGTTGCACTCGTGCGACGGCACCGCTGCCACGGTTAGCAGCGTCAGCATGTGCAGTCCGGCGGTTAAGGCACCCAGGATGTGCAGCGAGAACTGCCAGCACTGGTATTTACCGAACTCCCCCAGGTGGGACATCAGGTCCTCCAGGTTCCTGTCGACGCTTGCCATCTTTCTGGACTTCTTGGTGCGATTATGCTTCTTTTAGACACGAGTCATTTCCGGTACTAATGCGTTTTTGCATCCGTTTGGTCGGTCGACGGAGAACGACTGAGCTGGAACTTGCTCCGCAGGCGGACTGGAGAGTGAATAGTTTCTTTGTGGCCAGGGAATGCACTCGGGGTTTTCTACTTTTTATTCGGTTTGTCCTTGGTCGGTTGATATCTCTGCGGTTTTTGCACGACTTCTAATTAGTGTTCTTTAGAGCTGCTGATCTGGAAACAGAAATACTTGTCAGGTGTTTTGTGCACTTGTTGCAGTGACATTTTATGATACCAGGGATATGATAGGAGTTTATTTTTAATTTCGGGGTTAGGGTTCTCAGTTTGTTCTGGCTTTTGGGTTAAATGTCAGTGGTTCTCAACTGGTGGGTTGCTTGAAATGTCCAGGTGTAAGATGAGTTATATTCAAAATGGCTGCCATGATGCAGTAAATGTCTTTTAATGCACTATTAATTTTATACTTAATATCAATATTGAAGATATGTTAAAATTTTATTTGGATGTTGTCTATATTGTCCACATGTTCTATATGTTTGTATAAAAATCAAATTGTTTATAATTAAGTAAAAAAAAATTAAATATAGTTCTGATTTTAATTACATTTGTATAAAATGTCAAAAGGATAGTAAACTGATTGTATACAATATTTTATTTTAACCTGAAGTGTTTCAAAGTTTGTAACTTGAGCACGATTTCGATATGAAACTGCAAGGGTCATTAATCCTACATATGCAATCGAACGCGTTAATTTATGTATTTATTACTCTCGGCAAAGGTAGCCATATGCGTAAGACGCGAAACGTGGAGGTGCTGAAAAGTAATTTTATTAATACGTCCTTCAACCGTTAGAAATGTGAAAGTGAGCGTCGATGCACTAACCTATTCGCTGCATCAATCAATTTCTACCATATGGCCATGATACGTTATCTATGTACTCAGTGTGCATTATGCTACGTCGTAAAAATAGGTTCAAGGAATCTCGTAACAACTGATTTCATTTTGCTGTGACATGGACAAAATGGCGGTCATTGGAACATCATGGAGCTCATATGTAATTGTATGTAAACAAATTCGCTGATTAACTTTGATGTATTTTATTATTTATTTAACTGTAATGTTCACTTAACTGGAAAATGGACTCTTAATAATTTCTTTATGAATGAAACAAAAAATGCAAGAAATGTAGGAATTAATTTAAGGAATCTCGTAACAGTTGATTTCATTGTCTTGTGACATGGACAAAATGGCGGTCATTGGAACAACATGGCGTTCACATATAATTGCATATAAACAACTTCTTTGATCAGCTTTGATATATTTTATTATTTACTTAACTGTAATGTTCGCCTAACTGGAAAATGGACTCTTAATAATTTCTTTACGAATGAAACAAAAAAATGTAAAAATTGAGAAATTGAGAATTTGAGAGTTTGAGAATTTGAGAAATTGAAAAATTGAGAAATTGAGAAATTGAAAAATTGAAAAATTGAGTAATTGAGAAATTGAGAAATTGAGAATTTGAGAAATTGAAAAATTGAGAAATTGAGAAATTGAGAAATTGAGAAATTGAGAAATTGAGAATTTGAGAAATTGAGAAATTGAAAAATTGAAAAATTGAAAAATCTAAAAATTGAAAAATTGAAAAATGGAAAAATCTAAAAATTGAAAAATTGAAAAATTGAAAAATCGAAAAACCGAAAAATCTAAAAATTGAAAAATCTAAAAATCTATAAATTGAAAAATTGAAAAATCTAAAAATCTAAAAATCGAAAAATCGAAAAATTGAAAAATTGAAAATTTCGTCGTTTAAATCTACATTATTTGAAGAGTAATAAGAGGCTCCCCAAACATTTATCACCTAAAGTGTTACTTTCTCAACATCGATATCAAAATCTCGAAGAAATAAATTTTGGAGGGTCTGCTATCGCGATACTATCTCGACAAGTTTGAACACTCTATCGTTAACATCCGTTGCAAACAAACTCAAGATTGGCTACCTCAGTTTCAAATTTCCGTTGATAGTCTATTTGACGAGATAAACGTAGATACAGTGTCATCAGAGTTCAAGCATAACGATATTATCAGTCTCGAGTATTTCTTGATGTATGCGACCCCGTTCTATCTGGTAGCCTTCCACTGCACCCAACGAATTTGCACTGTTATCAGTTTTCTCGCGGTTTCTAAGATTTCGATCGTGTAAACTTATGAATAGAAATTATTAGAACAGAAATTATTATTGTTAGAAATTATTAGAATTGACATTAAATGAGATTTAATTCGATAAATGGTAATAATAAGTCGATGGTGCACGCTACAGGAAAATGCAATATATGGAGAGGATCTGTAAAATGACTTAACGTTTGAACGCAACAGATAAAAATGTTTTTACGAACTCCTAGACGGTAAGGTGCAATTATAAATCGATACTGTACGTTTCAGGAAAATGCAATATATGGAGAGGATCTGTAAAATGACTTAACGTTTGAACGCAACAGATAAAAATGTTTTTACGAACTCCTAGACGGTAAGGTGCAATTATAAATCGATACTGTCCGTTTCAGGAAAATGCAATATATGGAGAGCGTCTATAAAATGTTTTAACGTTTGAATGCAACAGATAAAAATATTTTTACGAACTCCTAGACAGCCAGTAACAAATCGTTCAACCAGAACCTCATTTCTGAGGATTACGAAACAAGTGTTGTTTCAAGCCGTTATTACCATTAATGTATGCTATTGTATTCGCGTGCGAGCGTATCACAGCCAGACAGGCACGAATTTCGCACGATCAGAAATGTATTGATGTTAATTAAAAATGCTAAACTTACTTGACATAAATCGGATTTTTCCGATCGGTCACCTTCGACGAGGGAGACTAATCTGGTAATAATTTAATCGGTTGGACTGTGAGTGCGTCATGAGTGCGTCAAGAGTGCGTCAAAGTACAACAAAGAGTTAACCCCTTGGCTTATGACATTGACACTCTTGACTCCACAGTTCAAGTTTAATAAGAACAAATTTTATTCGCCTTGCAACTTTCAGTTCAATACCACCTACAATTTATACAATTAATCTTTAAATTCTAAGTCTAACATATCAAGTTTAAGATATTTATCTTAATATAGCAAGAGTGATTGGTTAACTTTGATGTTCGCAAGTGTAAAAAGAATTAGAGGTTAAGCTATTAAGAAACTCTAAGAAAAGAAGAAATGTTAAAAGAAAGAAAAAACGTCAAGAAAGTAAAAAAAATTGCGTTAAAACGTTCCATACCTCTCGACAGCCAAATTTTTTTAAAAGAAAGAAGAAACGTTAAAAAAGTACAAAAAAAAATTGTGTAAAAACATTCCATACCTGTCGAGAGCCAAATTTCTTTAAAAGAAAGAAGAAACGCCAAAAAAGTACAAAAAAAATTGCATAAAAACATTTCGTACCTGTCGAGACCCAAATTTCGAGTTTAAATTCGCCGCCCTTTTTCGAACCGCGTCACGTGACGGCGATGCACCGTGCGCGCATATAAAAGCGCGCTTTCACTCGATCTTCCTTTCGATCCGCCGCCGCGCACAGAAATCAGTGAGCGACGATGATTATGTTCCTTATGAGGCAGTGAAACTAACGATTAATGCCAATGAACCCGCGTGGTAGTGGATACTAATGACTCGACGTCGAGTATAATCATCCAGCTTTTTGTATAAATTATCTACATGCGTCCGTTGTTTTGTATACGCGTAGCGTAAAAATATCGTGTTTTTTTTTTTATATGAGCGTCATTCACGTGGCTCGAGTCGCGTGATTTCCAGACAAATCTGCTATTTCGAGGCTTTTAGATAAATATAATGTTGTGGAGGCAGTGATGGATGTAGAGGAGGTGCGATGGGTCATTTTGTGATAGATGTGATATTAAAAAATATTTTGTATTGTATTTTTGATTTACGTTGCAAGTTTTCTTGTAATGACTTTAATTATTTAGTTGAAGATATTGTAATTTATTGTTTAAGTTAATGTCATATGAAATTATTAATAAATGAATTGTAAAAAAAATTGAAAGTGTAGAAATTGTTTAAAAAAATTTAATAAATGTAGAAATTGTTTAAATAGATTTTAAAAATGTAGAAATTGTTTTAAGAAGATTTAGAAAGTATAGAAATTGTTTAAAAAAATTTTTTAAATGTAGAAATTATTTTAAACAAAATTTTAAAAGTGTAGGAATTATTTTTAAAAATTTCAAAAATTTTTTATTTTAAAATTATGTTTTGAGATACATGTTTGACATTTTTGTTTTGTACGAAAAATAAGAAAAAAGAAGTATAATATTTTCGACGTTTTTTAATGGCAAAATTGTTTTGTAAAATATAAAAAATATTTTATAAAGAGGGACAACTTCCCGGTTTTTCGTTTTCCCGTGTAGTTTCATAAGAACCGACGGTGATGAAACGTAACTGTTTAAATAATTTTTGCACTCAGGGAACTGGTAAATCGACCATGATGTTCGGAGAAGAACTGCAGAAGTTGTAGAGAAAGCTGCGAATTTATTGCGTTGCGCTGCATTCAGCATTCCTTTGATGTACTTTTGCACCAATTTAATATTATTGATGTAATACAAGTTTATATAAATGTAATGGAAAATGTAGGAAAGCTGAAAAATTTTGCGAGAAAAAAAATTGAAAAATGGGAGAATTGAAGAATTGAAGAATGGAAGAATTGAAGAATTGAAGAATTGAGGAATTGAAGAATTGAAGAATTGAAGAATTGAGGAATTGATGAATTGATGAATTGTAGAATTGAAGAGTTGAAGAATTGAAGAATGAAGAAATTGAGGAATTAAAAAATTGAGAAATGGGAAGTTTGGAAAATTGACAAATTGGAAAATTGGAAAGGTGGAAAATTAAAAAATTGGAAAATTGGAAAATTGAAAAATTGGAAAGGTGGGAAATTGAAAAACTGAAAAATTGAAAAATTGGAAAATTGACAAATTAAAAAATTGGAAAATTGAAAAATTGGAAAGTTGGAAAATTGGAAAGTTGGAAAATTGAAAAATTGGAAAATTGAAAAATATGTTCGTGGAAAAGTAGGAAAATCGGAAAACTAGAAATGTGGAAAATAACAGAATTGAAAGGCCAGAAATGTAGAAAAGCGCGAACTAAGTAAATAGAAATTTGAAAATTTGGAAATAAGAGAACTTAATAACTAGGTAAATTGCCACCCTAACATTAAAAACTTGACACTTACTAAAAATATAAAAAATTCGAAAGCTCCAAATCACTAGTCCCCATAAAAACATACCTATTCAATAACACTAGACACCTACTTACTCAAATCCATACACCATACCTAACAATCAATAAAAAAATCGAAAGACAAACTTACGATGTAACTGCACAAGGTCCACCCGATCCGAGCCAAAGCGCACAAAGTCAATTAACCGACCGCAGCGTCGCCAGTTTTTTAAGCTATTATTCAAGGACCGTTTGTCCAATTACGATTGGTGTCCCCAATTCTTGTCAACGTAATTAAATGATGGAAACGCGAGGAAGGTGCATCGTCTGTAGATGATGTTTGTTCATCGACTTGCGTCTTACGACTGATGTACAGTGTTCCAGATAAACTGGAGCAAACCGTTAGCAGTCGTGTGCACTTGGTACACGTGGTAATTCTATACTTCTACCTTCTATCTTTCGATCACTTCGGAGATACGATTGTTTGCATAGTGTAACACCAACGCGGGTTACGTATGAAATGTTGTATGAACAAATTATCAGATGTTTTAGCGTGGAGAGTTATCGTGGAGTATCAAAAAATAGTTCAATGCCGAAATTTTCGCGGTGATAAACATTTCTGGTACGTTTATTGTTGCTTTTGCAGATGTGTGCAATGCTATTTTTTTTTTATTGATGGATTGGTAGATTGATGGATTGATAGATTGATGGATTGATAGATTGATGGATTGGTGGATTGATGGATTGGTGGATTGGTGGATTGGGGGATTAGTGGATTAGTGGATTGGACTGATGGATTGATAGATTGATGGATTGGTGGATTGATGGATTGGTGGATTGATGGATTGGTGGACTGATGCATTGGTGGATTGATAGATAGGTGGATTGATGGATTGGTGGGTTGGTGGATTGGTGGATTGGTGGAGGATTGGCGGATTGGTGGATTGGTGGATTGCTGGATTGGTGTATTGATAGATTGGTGGATTGGTGGATTGGTGGATTGGTGGATTGATGGATTGATGGACTGATGGATTGATAGATTAATGGATTGGTAGATTGATGGATTGGTGGATTGATGGATTGGCGGATTGGCGGATTGGTGGATTGGTGGATTGCTGGATTGGTGTATTGATAGATAGCTGGATTGGAGGATCGGTGGATTGGTGGATTGATGGATTGATGCATTGATAGATTAATGGATTGGTGGGTTGTTGCGTTAGTGAATTAATAGATAGGTGGATTGGAGCATTTATGTATTGGAAGGTTTGTGGATTGGGAGATTTATGGATTGGTGGATTGATAAATTAATGGACTTGTCGATTGATAGATTGCTAGATTGCTAGATTGATAGATTGGAGGATTGATGGATTGATGAATTGGTGGATGGACAAATTGGTACATTGATAAATTGATGAATTTGTGGACTGACAGGTGGTTGCATTGCTAAATTAATAGATTGATAGGTTGATAGATTGATGGATTGATAAAGTGGTACATTGAAAGATTGATACATCGATACACTAATAGATTGATACACTGAAAGATTGATAAAGTGATAGATTAATAGATTGATAGATCAATAAACTGACATATTGAGGTATTGACAGGTAGATAGATGAATGTATTAATGAACTAATGCATCGATGAACCGCTTCAGCTGACGCCAAACCGCCATTTGCAATCGGTGTGCATTTAAGATGGCCCCCAAAAGTACAATACCGATGTCAACCCACGAGTTGGCGCGCAAAGCCGACGTGTTTAGAAGAGCTAGTCAGAATAGAAAAATGGACGCCTCACACGTATTTTCGGCGGAACAATTGGCTCTCGCCGGTCACGCGCACCGATTAGGCGAAAAACAATGAGAGTCGGCAAACGTCTCTCGAGTGAGCGAGATAGCCATTGCCTTCAGCAGTTGTTGTCATTATTATTCTTATGCGCCGAAATGTAACTGGAAGTGTTCACGGTGAGGAGCTTCTTTTACTTTGGGTCACGCGCCATCTCGTGGGTTATCTGTATGTCGATTGTCGACATCTGAAGCTGTCTAAAATTTGAAGGTATCATGTGGACAGTTACCGAGGGCACCTATCTGAAGTCTCTTTCGAATGGAACATAAACTTGCATGTGGACACTTATCAAGGGTTATCTAAAATTTAAAGACATGGACAATTATCGAAGTCTATGTAAACTATATCCTTGCAAAATTAAACCCAAACTACATAAACCTTGAGTTATCTAAAATCGAGACCTAGAGCTATCTAAAATTTGAAGCTGTACACCTCGCGCCAACTCGTGGATTGACATCTGTACATACACCGCAGAGAGAGTCTGTTGCACTCGCGTGAAGTGACGAAGGAAACAGAACGATCATTAGGTGGCCGCGCGTGGTAGGTAATCTCGCAAGAACCGTAAGACCAGTCATGTATCGACATTCCAGGATAGCTGCGGAGCAGGAAGCGTCTGTAAAAGGGACGGCGTCGAATTGTGCCGATGAATGGAAAAACTTCTACGCCGGTGCAGTGTCCTCGATCGAACGTACACGCAATTGCAGTACGGTAACTTCAATTACCGCAACCGACGCTTTTTATCGTTCTACACGGATTACTTAGAAATGATAACAATAGTCAGAGAAGCGGTAATAAAAGCGCGGTAGTTGCTTCTAACTAATCTGGGATCAAGCGTGGCTTCTCTTAGATAAACAGGATATAGGTAATCCTAATTGATTAGCTTTATTTAATCAGAGTTGAAGATTTATTACTTTGTATGTCGTAAGTGGACAGGTGCATAATTTCGAGGTTACTCAATTTTTCAAGTTTGTAATTTTGAAATTTTGAAATTTTGCAATCTTGCAATTTTTACATACTAAATGTGTCATCCACAAATCCCTACATTCTCATATCCCTACATCCCCAAATCTCCACAAGTCCACATCCTCACTCCCCAAATCCCAAAATCCCGAAATTCTCAAGAATGCAATTTTCATAAATTACTCGCCCATCAATTGTTAAGGTAGCGTCCCAATTGAAAACATAAAACCCTAATGAATTCCATGTAGAAGAGCTGTTTACGTTGCTGGAAACCGATCGGTGAATATTGGATTTTTAGGACCTCCCTCGGAGCTCACCCCCTGATCCAATAAACCTAAATGGATTTCGAGGCTACTCGCGCATCGTCTCCTCAGTATTGCCGTTTCAACCCCGACGAATATTGAAAAATAACCAAACTAGACAAATTCATCGATTTTTCTAATTTACACAAAATAATCTATTATTTGAAAGAAGTTCTTTTTTCCACAACGATCCGTTTCTAAATCCCTCATTTATTTAAAACCTACTTAATCTATTGTATTTTATTAACTAGTTTAACTGTGTTAATATATAAACTATTACGGAGAGAACGGTTAATTTTGTTCATTAATGTTTGTTAAGAAAAGTACAAATCGATAAAGTCTGTAAAAACGAAAGTATATTTACCGAGCAGGTTTGCGACGATCTTCTAGTGAATTTTTCGGTGAAATATGGTGAGGACCACTGGATAGAACGACAGCCGAAACTGTGGCATCCGTCAACGCACTACGCGTTCCCGAAGCACTCTGGTGATCGACTCGCGCACTTCTTATTACTGGAAGATAACAAAGAAATGGCGGTGTCTAATAAAAGATGCCCTAAAACTTTGTCGTTCAAGGTTTATCGATACCGTGTCCAATTTTACGAACCGCGAGGGAAAAGTCGGACGTGTCATTGAAGCAGTTCATGCACATCGTCGGCAAACGAATACAGTTACCTATTTTGCAAGACGTCAACCTCTAACTTCTCCACGTTAGATAATTACTCATTTACGAGTCGAGACGCTTCGATCGCGCATTAACGAACAAAAAGCGAGCAGCAAGAAATTACTATTCAAAGTCGTCTAACTTATTAGTCTCGATTGTCTCGAACGTGTGCAGTACGTCATTATGAAACACGTTAATCGCTTTCCATGCAAGTACACCAGAATCTTGTAGTGTACGAAAGTAGTGATGTCAACCCACTTCCAAATTCCATAATTTCCCAATTCCCACATTCCCCAATTCTCACATTCCACAATTCCCATATTCCCCAATTCCCAAATTTCCCAATTCCACATTCACCAATTCCCCCATTTCGCCTTCCCCAAATCTTCCCCAAATCCCAAATCTCCATCACCTCTCAAAAATCCCCAAGCCATCAAATATCCTAAACCCCAAATCCCCCAACTTCCAACTACCTAAATCTCCGAATGAACATCGATATTTCCTCCAGAAAGATCCATCATCCTCTCGAAGCAAAAAATCGTAAAAACATCGGTCACAACAGAGTATCATTCAGCTATGTAACCACAATGACAAATATCCGTAGGAAAAAAAGATGGAGCTAACAAGCTCCTCGTTTGGCTGACGTTCGAGAAACGGTACAGACCGGCTTCGTCTCTTGACGTCATGTAGTTCATGCACATCGCGGCAAACAAACACAATTACCTATTTTGCCAGACGTCGTTAACCGGACGCCCATCTGATAAGTTCTCGTGATCCATGTTAGATAATTATCCATTTGCGCAGTCGAGTGACGCTTCGATCGAACGCAACACATTAAGGGATAAAAAGCGAGCAGCAAGAAATTACAAGTCAAAGTCGTCTAACTTATTAGTCTCGTGATTGTCTCGAACGTGTGCTGTACGTCATTGTGAAACACGTTAATTGCTTTCCATGCAAGTACAACGTGTCTGTTACCGTCTACAAAACAGATATTCCACTTTTTGCCCAAGTACGACTGACGGAGCAAGATGTTCTCATTTAAATCTCCATTTTTCTTCCAACAGGAAAAAAACGTCGGTGCATTGATTTCAAGAGCGTTACTCGCCTTCCTGTTTCCCTTAGCCGTTTCATATTGTCGAATCACCCGACACGAGTTGCTTTTAAGTACTTTATTTCTTCGAGCTTACAAGTTTCGAGTACAGTTATGTTATTTTGGTATAATTGTTACGGACGGGTGGAACCGGCAAAGAGACTGTGGATTACTGACCCTGGGTCCTCGGGTCCCAGTTTTATTAGGGGGGTTGCACTGGAAAAATGGGAGCGGCAACGGAATTTTAGGGGGATTAGGGTAATTAGGATGGGAGGATCTGGGAAATGGGATTGGAGACGGGTCTGATTGCACCGGATTGAAAACAGAGTGCGGATGCAGAAATATTGGGGTAGGAATTTGGACGCAAAGGGAAAGTGAGGTGGTTTGTAGGTAGCTGAGGGTTGATGAGAATAAGTGCAAACAGCTGGTGGAGGAAAGACAGATGCCACGTTCCTAAATGTCTACGTCCTCAAATCTCTACGTTCTCAAATCCTCACTCCCAATATTTTGGATGGAATATTTGGATGGAAAGGGAAAGTGAGGTGGTTTATAGTTGAGGGAAAGTTTATACGTAAGGAGTAAGTGCAAGTGGAGGAATGGTCGACGAAGGGTTTGTTTGAATTTGGTCAATACACGCTGTTATTTAAACGAGAACAATTAGTTTAAATATCTGGAGGGAGCAATATCGAGGCGCGTGTCGACGACCTATCGACACACGGAAATTAGATAAGGGGTCGACTTGCTCAATCTACATATTTACGCATACAGATTCGATTTATCTGTCATTCAGAAGCTTTCGCGTTTTCTGCAAAATTTGTAATTTCTAATTAGAGTGTTTGAAGAATTTGGAAACTTGACCCATTAAAATGATTGAAAACTAAGAATATTGCAAATTTAGGAAAATTGAAAGAACAGTAAATTTGAAAAGTTGAAATCTGACAAAACAAAAAAGTGCAAATTTTGAAGAACTAAATTTATCAAATTAAAATTTGAGAAAATTGTAAAAACTGTAAAACTTGTAAAAATTGCAAAAATTCTAAAAATTCTAAAAACTCTAAAAATTCTAAAAATTCTAAAAATTCTAAAAATTATAAAAATTATAAAAATTCTAAAAATTCTAAAAATTATAAAAATTGTAAATTTGTAAATTTGCATAATAAATTTATAAATTTGTAACATTAAATTCCAGGAATTAATTGTCAAACATACGAAGCGGCGATTTTCTGTGACTTCAAGTAGATACAGAACGTGGACTTAGAAAGAGGTTGGGAACTTTCCCTTTCGCCGAAAAGAAGAACCGAAATAAAGATAGCCGGAAAAGCTCAATTTGAGGATCGAGTTATCGCGTGTTATTCATTGAGGCATCAGTGAGATATGGTTCTCGTTATTTGATTATACGATTTACTTTTACGACATGGAAGTAGCGCGGTATAATGGGAGAAGGAGAAGCAGGAGGTCCAAGTGGATAATGACATCGGTGGATACGTGGTTGGTTTATCAGTTATTCAGCGAACTGACACCGGTGTCATCGCGACCGATAACTGACTATTCTCGCTATCCGCGTGTTTTGTGAATTTTTTATTTTGCTGGAAGGAAGAGTAACTTATTGATTTTCTATTCCGTAAATTTTTCTTAAAATCCTTGTAAACATTTTCTATGTTCTTTTTAGAGTTTCTGTAAACTGTTCTTGAATACTTTTTCGAATTTTGTTTTTAACTCTCTTTGAAATTTAAAATAAGTCTAAAATATCCATAAACTCTTCTTAAACTCTCCCTGAAGTCTCCTTAAAATTTTCACAAACTTTCTTTGAATTTTCCCTAAATTTTCTTTGAACTTTCCCTAAACTTTCTTTAAACTCTCTAAAATTCCCCTTTGAACTTTAACATCTCCCTAAACCCCCAATTCCTCCCAAAATCTCCCTAACGAGACCATTTGATTCCCCATCCCAGGTGCACACCCCTCTCGATATATGGCAATGTCTCACATATCAAGATATCTAAATCATCCAAGTACCTCACACTTCGAATGACAATCTTGGAATAATATCACAGAAAACGGTAAGAAATTCTTACAAGCTTTCTTCATCGTAAACTTCTTTATTCGCATACTTTACAATCATCATTACTCATTTGTACATCACAATAAAATAAACATTTTACAAGCAGTTACAAGAAACAGAAGCTAATTGTTCACCTGTAAAAAAGACTGAAAGAACAACGTTACTGACCTATTCTCTTTTAAGTCGGTTAATTACCGTGACTACTGTTTATTCAAATTCAGTCGTGTCTTCGTTAACGGCTTATGACTTATTTGTCAGGTGCGTCAGTCGGAACAAACTAATCACAGCTACAATATTAAAGGAGACAACGAAAGTTGAAATGTCATATTCTGTATATAGTAAACCTTGACCATGCAAATTATAATTGCACTCAAACTTCAGGGAGTATTAAAAATTCGGGGAAGGTTAATTACAGTTGGAGTCAGACTCGTGAAAGGGGGAGCTACTGCAAGCTTGATATACGGTTGTCAACCCACGAGTTGGCGCGACAACAGGTTCACATGTAGATAGCTTCATATTTTAGACAGCTATAGGTCTCAGTTTTAAGTAGCTCTAGATCTTGATTATAGATAGCTTTAGGTCTTGACAAGTGTCCATATGTAGTTTAATCTTGCAAGGTATAGTTTACATAGACTTCGATAATCCAAATGTCTTCAAATTTTAGATAGCCCTTCACAAGTGTCCACATGTAAGTTTATGTTCCATTCGAAAGAGACTTTAGATAGGTGCCTTCGGTAACTGTCCACATGATACCTTCAAATTTTAGACAGCTTCAGATGTCGACAATTGACATACAGATAACCCACGAGATGGCGCGTGACCCAAAATAAAAGAAGCTCCTCACCGTGAACACTTCCAGTTACATTTCGGCGCATAAGAATAATAATGACAACAACTGCTGAAGGCAATGGCTATCTCGCTCACTCGAGAGACGTTTGCCGACTCTCATTGTTTTTCGCCTAATCGGTGCGCGTGACCGGCGAGAGCCAATTGTTCCGCCGAAAATACGTGTGAGGCGTCCATTTTTCTATTCTGACTAGCTCTTCTAAACACGTCGGCTTCGCGCGCCAACTCGTGGGTTGACATCGGTATTGTACTTTTGGGCGCCATCTTAAATGTA